ATCCTTTGGTATACCTTTCTTTCTTATTATTATATCTATTTCAGATGTCTATGTACCTACCAATCTTTTATTCTATTTATTTATCAATATACCAGGCAAGCCGAGTGCTTATATAGACTTACCTATATGTCGGTCTGCCAGTCTATCTATCTATCTATCCATCCATTTCTGTCTATATATTTTTTCTTTGCATCAACTTCTTTATTCATCTTTGTCTCCATATATATATATATATATATATATATATATATATATATATATATATATATATATATATATATATATATATTATATATATGTGTGTGTGTGTGTGTGTGTTGTGTGTGTGTGTGTGGTGTGTGTGTGTGTGTGTGTGTGTGTGTGTGTGTGTGTGTGTGCGTGTGCGTTTGCGTGTGCGTGTGCGTGTCGTGTGCGTGTGTGTGCGTGTGTGAATTATATTAAAATGCTTGTCCCTCGAGGTTTTCTGAAAAGAGACCAAAGTACAAGTAGTTGGAAGGTTCTTGGAAGATGCAGTCCAAGGGGCCCATGGATCCAACGCTGAAGTGTTGTCACGTTGTTTTTTAATCTCAATAATTGGAGCTTTAGTGCCTGAGCAGAACAGAACTCCGTGATCTTTTAACCTTTAAGTTGGCAGTGCGACTTGGCAGCAATTCGCAAATCCGAATTATCCGACGCTTGGGAGTAATTTCGCCTCAGAATTATTCCCAAACCAGAGAGAATTTCCACAACCGAGACGCGAGCCTATTCTCTGGGTGCCGATCCTGGCTCGGAAAGAACCCAGGGTGGAGATGAGGACAGAAAGGTCAGGGTCATGGGAGTACCCGGGGGTGGTGCGTGCTATGATTTGAAGGAAGAGATCTCTAGAAAATGAGAAAGTAGAAAAGTAAGGAAGAGAAAACTTTATGCACAAATATACAAATACGATTATCCTCGCAACACATTCTATGGAAAAGGTTATGCAGGTGACCACTTCTGTGCATTTTCATTTATATTAAGAAAACCCTATATGGCCACGTATTAGAGAATATAATATGTGCATGCGATATATGCCCTCATAAACACACACATGTATATATATATATATATATATATATATATATATATATATATATATATATATATATATATATATATATATATATATATATTATATATATATATACTACTTATGTGTGTGTGTTCGATTACATTGCAAGGTATCATACCAAGATTAATTCCGGAATCACACTTAGCGCCCCTTTTCGTTTGTATACGCATCATCCCTTCATTTTCCACGCCACGACAACTTAAAAAAAAAAAAAAAAAAATCAACGTGTCCCCGATTCTACTCTCGCCTTCCCCTATCCTTAGAATGTAATGTATAGCCTTCGTTTATAGTGTCCTTTGTTTCCCTAAATCCACCATACTATCTTGTTGCTTGTTAGACTTGGTTTTGCTCCCCCACCTCCACGCATGCACGATTGCCCCTAAGAGAATGCTCGTTAGCTGTGTAGACTCTTGTAGAAGATGCGGGTCTAATATCTTTGTCTACTTTCCTCGCTAAACAGGAAAACGTGATCATCATATATATATATATATATATATATATATATATATATAATATATAATATATATATATATATATATATATATATATATATATATATATATATATATATATATATATATATATATATATATATTATGTATGTATATATATATGTATATATACATATATATTATATATACATTAAAATGTGAATAGTGTTTTAGGTATCTTTCAAAATCAAAAACGGTCTCGCATCTTCTCTCGATAAACATATGTTCTTTTTTACTTTGAAATGGCTGTTTTTAACAGTCATTGTGTTAACTTCGAATGGATGGATACCTTTAGAAAATAGTTTAAAGCAGTTTCTAATATGTTGTAGTAATGTATATATTTAGCCTTTCCTTGTAGTTACTTGACAGCCTGATGTAGCTTCGTCATTTCCGTAAAGTCTTGTTCGTCTCGGGTAGTGCTATGCTGTATACTGTATATCATTAGCCTTATAGTAGTTTCATATCAATAAATGTCTTCTGCGAGCTTTATTGTGATATACTTTATGTTTAATGCATATATTCATGAATCATTTGTATATACAGCTTCAAGATGGACTGGATATATATGAACAAAAAATCAGAAAGGAATTAATAATTGATATAGGAGTCACGATGAAATAGTTGTTCACTTTTCTTTGCAAGGAATTTTACAAATAAACATCAGTGTAAATCATAAAAAGAAAACGTAAACATGAGATAAAAGTATTTAATTCAGTCCTTCATGAAGACTCCCTTCGCTATCAGACCACGTATTAACACAATATCCCCGATTTTCTCTTCCCACAGCAAATAAGGAACCTGTTCAGTTCGACGAACTATTGTGACGGTGCACGCGATCCAGCGACTACACCCTCATTCCAAACCAGTGAATCGTCGACAACACCCTTATCCTTATCTAGGGATTTGGTGACTCCATTCTCACCGTTAACCAACGATTCGGCAACTGCACCTCTTCTTATTCCTATTTTTTATTTGTCTCTTGCACTGTTTCTTCCTTTTTTTCGGTGATAAACGATTGTATTCTCAGTCGTCACTTCATCAGGTTGACACACCTCACCGTTGACCGACATTCTAATGGCAGTTCTGTTACTCAATACACTCTCATCTTCGGACAAAGCATCTTTCCTCGACCTAAGTACTTTACTTTGAGCTTCTGTCAGCAATTCTGAGCAACTCCTTCAGGATTGTTGTGCGTCTTTCCCATGTCAGAAGTAAGATCTCCTTTACTTCTCGCTGACGACTCCATCTGAATTTCCCAACACTCATTCTCGAGAATATACTGAAGAGGGACGAGGGACTTCGACACTAAGCTGTTTCCACAACCCAGACACCACAATAAACGAAGACAGCTCAGAGGATTAATTTTGATCTTGTTTTTAGCTGTTGTTTTCATTATCGAATAAAGACAGACGTCCAATTCTGTATCTTCTGTGAGCCGGAAAGTATAGTGATTTTCACCATCTAAAGGAAGAAGACCTATGGTGTATAGAAGCACGCTTTGATAATTCAGACTTCTTATAATCAAGAAAACACGTGACTACAAAATCGGCGTGCTTGATACGCATATTTCATTTGTAGAATATATATCGAATAGAATTTGCTGTGAGTAGTGAAGTTACAGACTTGCTAAGTCAAGAATTCCAGTCTCATTCATACTCCTTGCTAATGAGAAGTGACTCTGATTTCTCCCCTTCATTTGCAAACGGAAGTAACTCATACACTCACTTGTGTAAGAGTCTTTTCTTGTAAATATATAAACTTAAAGTGCCTGGTTATATAGTTTATGTATAAAGCCCTAGTTAAAAAAAAGTATAATACTCAAAGTTTAGTGTATAAGCACATGGTGTGATTTACTTGCAACTTTGGATTTTTTAATATTTATCATTATTGTGCGTGGACCTCTGGTAAACAATCTCGTCCTTCCCTTCAGGTCCAGCTTTACAAGAACCAAATTGTAAAATTGTATTTGTTTTCCTTTGCAATTCAGTGATATTGATTAATTAGCTACCAAGTCTCCCTCCCTCCAACCAAGGCCAAGGAAAGCCAACCAACCATCAAACACCTAAAACCCTTAAACTCCCTTGGCCATCACTAACACTACTTGCCTTCCTTCCTTGACTTTACCGTCCGCCTGCCGCCGCCACATTTAACTGTGTCCACTCTTGTAGTATTCTTCTGTGTCTCTAACTAAGCATCATGGAAGGGGAGGAAAAACCAGAAGAATCCTTTGCCGTTAAGCTGAAGTATTACACGACCCTGACCATGGGAACAACGGCATGTCTATCATCCTTCATCTTCATGTTCTTGATTCCGTGGATACTGGATCCATCTATATCCACTCTCATGGCTAACTTCGACCCAGAGCAGGTGTTGTGCAGGACAGTCAGAACAGATCATTTGGTGAGCATGAAGAACTGTTCCTGGTCATCGTGTAAGCACGGGTGCACCACGGACCAATACGAATGCGACCAGATCTATGTGGACTACATGCATGTTCCCTATAGCGAGTATGACGAGGAGAGCTTCGAGATGGACGAAGACCTCTGGGTTGGACGTGGTGTTCCCCTTTTCATCAACATCAAGGCTTGCGGATACCCACCTCAAACCAACTGCTCCACTTTCGCCGACAAACACGGTCCCGAAGGCTCTGTCTTCGCCTGCTATTACTCACGAGCTGACCCTAACTTAGTCATGACCGAATATTCATGGTGGAAGGAGGTCAACAGCATCATCATGGCCCTCCTGATTCCAAATGTCCTGTGTGGGTTCTCCCTCGGTCTGGTGACCTACTGGTGGTATCCTGGTTGCCAGAAGAGGCGCTGTCAGTACCAGCTCCCACCTGACCAAGAGGACGCGTCTTCTAATAATGCTGACGATGAAGATGATGAAGAGGGAGAACAGGATGACGAAGGGGATGGAGCAAAGAAGGGAGATGAAAGTGACATGAAGAACAGACCTCAAGAAGAAGAAAAGGACCGTGATACATCCATCAGCATGCCTGAAGAGTAAGTAAAAATTGGGATTCCTAGCTCGAAACCCTATAAAGCAACGGTGTTGAACCCATGGAAGACCACAATGCTCACCTCGTTTCTTGTTCTTATAATTTGTATTAATTGCCTTTCAGGGTTTTGCTCATACATGCTTTTGTTCTTCCAATAAAATGATACTTGGATTTCTATGTCTACAAAAAGTAATTGCTGACTACTCTAAAAATGGATTTGGATAAGATCATTAATGCATGCATACTTGATCCCCAAGTCCAAATAATGAATTAAGTAAATAAATGACTTTGCAAAAGTGTATATCTCAAGTGTATGTTAAAACACTTCAGTGTCTACAGTCATAATGATAATCACTATGATGCAGTTATCAGTGAAAATCCTTTCAATTACACATAAAAGTTTAGATTGTAATAGTCTACCTCTGTTATTTACAATGACTCTTATTATAAGGTTTATTAATGCTCAATCTCATATTACAGGAGAGTGTGACTACTGGATAACGGGGCTGTAGGACAAAGTGGAGGATGAAAATAATGCTGCTGTCAGTCAAAATAAGAAGCAAATAATAAAATCTGGATAGCAAGACCCCGCCATTGCAAAGAAAATGAGAGAAGAAAAAAGAAAGCAATCTCTATACTTGTATTCTTGCTTGCCTATGAAAACTTTCATGCTACACAAATAAATATATATCTAAAAATCTGTAAAAAAAAAACAAAAAAATAATACATATATACACATATTGAGTGTAATCTCATTACTTATCCCTTTTCCCTCATCTTTCTCTGTAAATTAAAAGTGTAAGCCTTGCCAAAAGAACAATTGTAACCCTTACTGTCACCAGTGTTGTTAGATTAAAATACCATCAATACAAGAAAAAAAAAATCTGCCTTCAGCCCCTATTTCTTTTCGGGAATAAAAACAGAAACGTCAACAACAAAAAAAGCAAAAACAACTTACATATCCCATCTCATATATTTAAGCTTTTGACTTAAAATCTTTAAAAGGCTTCTGTACCTCTCCCGGGCAAAGATCACAAGCCCATATAATGATGCTGATTCGAGTTTCACCTGCAAGATACATTGTACATTTTTCTTTCTTCTGTTTTGCTCTGTGTAGCTGCACTTTCAAAGGAAAGATTTTCTTGCACTATGTAATGGTTAAGTGAAAATGGTTAACCAAATGATTATTTCAAAAAATGATAAAAAATGCAAAAAAAAAAAAAAAAAAAGTTAAAAATATATCTTCTCAGTAAGTGGAAAGCCATCTCGGTTTACTCTAATGCTATGATAAAAATACTACTTGCCGAGGTCACTGAGAACTAGTTGTAGTCCTTTCATTCAATTTTGTAGCTAATAAGTCATGCAAATTTACAGCTGATCTTTTTATAATAGTGAATAATTTGCTTTTAACCTTTACAATTGCAGATAGCCACTTGCCATTCTATATATTTTTTAGAAGTATAGAAGTTTTCAACTTATCTGATCTTCTAAACTGAGAGAAGGGAAATATGTTACAACATCAATAAATTACTTTAGTTTACTGTGACTTAAGTTTCTAAAAATAACATTAACTCAAGATAGCTTTCTGAATCAATTATGCTTTAGATATTCTTACTTTGAATTTATGTCATTCATCAAACAACAAAGATGCATTTGATCATCACTTTGTTATTATTATTAAGAATAACGATTTCATGTTTCTAAAAGAAAGTTACTGACCCTGTGTCAAGGAAATATTGTTATTTGTTCAAAATACCAATTTTAAATAATGCAGTTCAACTATGACTCTGTGATCATTAGAATGTCAGTTGTAAGTTATGTGAAAGCACATCATATCCCATACTAAAGCACAAAAATGCTTTTGCTTATAATATCAAAGTGTATCATAGATAATATGGTTATAGATTGTTATAAAAAAAAGATTATTTATCTTTTTTAATTTTCTTCTCTTACTTTTTATCATGGTATTCAGTCAGAGAGGAAGTCATGATTAAAATACCAAAACCACTTACTGCTGTGTGTTCCAATTTTTTAAAAGTTGTGTGAAGCAAATACAATGAGGACCTGTCATTTTCTTTCCCAGGATCTAAGAACAAAAATATTAAAACAGTATTTAAAACTTTGAGGGCCTTTGTGCACAATTTATCTGTCAATTGTACGTCCTGTGTCCATTTGTCAAACTTTTAAGGGAAAGAAGGGAGCTCTACAGTAGTAGACTATTACAAATTATATTAGCAGATATTGTAGAATTCATAGTACACATTTGTTACACTGAAGAGCCTTCTTCTTAACCTTTTGGTTGTAAATATACATCTATTTTTTTCATGCTTATTTTAGCCCTGCATGTGTGATGACAGTGCTACAATACTCGAATACTGTTAACAAGTATTATATTGATAGAAACCTATTAGCTACCTTTAGATGACACAGCATTTACCAACCTGGTGCTATTATTTCACTGAATTAGCTTCTGTCATTGTTAATTTGTTTGTCAAATTTACCTCTCTTAGGTAATACTTGCATAGTTTACAGTACCATGATGTTCCTTACCTTACAGAGATGCAGTAAAACATTTATTATAAATCATTTAGACTAAGAAAACGCACCTCATATTGGTCAGAATTCCCACACAAAATAATACCATTTTTCTGTCATCAAACAACTTCCCACCAGGATCCTTGTTGCCTCTTTTGCAACATTATCCTCTGTAATATCTTGCATATGCATTACAAATATAACTGCACAATATTTGTGCTTGTTGATGCTTAAATTTCTACACAAAGTTTGCAATAAAGATTGCTCAACAATTTTGTATCCTTATTCCTACTAGAATTCTTTTCATTACAATCTAAAATCCAAAACTGGAGAAAAAACACAATGGATGGAAAAAATAAGATACATAATACATGATTAGGCTATGTTTACTCCTTATTAACTGTAAATAAGGAAAAACATAAATATTACCACTTTTAATGATTATGCAGGTTATATATTCATAAACACTGCACAATGACAGACAATGCAAATATATATATATAATATATATATATATATATATATATATATAATATATATATATATATATATATATATATTATATATATATATATATATATATATAGAAAAGATGCAAATTAAATTTCAAAACCATTTATCATGTTTTATTGTAACAATTTTTATGCCTTTTTGTATATACTTACAAAAGTCTATGAACATTTTGCAAAATACCAAAAAATAAAAGAAACAAATAAAAAGAATAATATTTGGTATCTCATAACTGTCATGGTATACAATAAATTCAACCAAATAACAATGTCAATACCACAAGCCAAAAATAATAATATAAAAAATTATCATATTACATTTGCATCGTTGAACTCTGAACAAAATAAATACAACAATAATCATAATCATAATAATAATAATAACAACAACAATAACAAATATACTAATAACAACAACAATGATAATAATGATAATAATGACAATGATGAAAATAATAATAATAATAATATTAATAGTAATGACAATGATGAATAATAATAATAATATAATAATAATAATAATGATAATAATAATAATAATAATAATAATAATAATAATAATAATAATAATAATTATAATAACAATAATAATAATAATAATAATAATAATAATAATAATAATAATAATAATGGTAACTGAATATTTTGACTAATAATAAATATATGATAACCTACATATCTGATATTACTGGTTCTTTATGCTAATACTCTCAACAAGCCCCGTTCCAATGACCTGAAAATCTTCAATAATTGCATCTACATTCACGACCTGTTTCACTTCCTTCACACCAACCAGCTTATGACCCATGAGGCTGCCAATCTAGGGAGGAAGAGAGAAAAAAGGAAAATATATAAAAATATGCACTGTGTACATTAATCTGTCTTTCATGTGTGCATGTTCTTATAATAGCCTTGTTAAACATTCCCTATTTTATTCCATTTATGTAAATAGATGTGTGTATATATTGATGTGTGTAAAAAATATTTACCTATTTTCTATCTATCTACAATCTACTAACTGTTATTCTTGTTGGTCTTTTGTCAATTGTATATACACATCTTTCAATCAACCTTTTTGCTATATTCTTGTATTCTTGTCATGCAACTAAATATATGCATTTTTTAATTAGTCTATCTAATGTCTTATTACATTCTGTCTTCAGCAACCCAAGCAATGAACCTGTACCTTTAGTTCCTGTGCAGATAATGCTTTAGGATTCCAAACAACCCCAATGACATCACCTCCATGTTCATCATAGAAGAATAGGGCCACATGGCTATAGGCTTCCTGTGGAAAAAAATACATATATATATATATATATATATATATATATATTACTGAAAACAAAGAAATGTACAAAATCAATCAATAAAAAGCATCAGTAAAAAAACCTTTCAACAGAATTTAAAATGAAATACTGAAGTTTACTTGAAATTCCTTCTATTGAGTGTAAGCAAAAAGAAGTTATTACAAAATTTGTTCTACACGGATAACTTACCAAGCTTTATTTCACAACCTTAATCCATAGATGACCAAATAAAATAAGTAAAACAATCAGAATTCAAACTTACTTTCAGTTCTTCCAAGTACATGGATGCAGCATCATACATTACAACAGGTGTAATCCCCCTAGTGTCTGTCATTTGATGCAAAGGAATGTCTTTCTTTTCATCACGATCCTTCCAGTCTACTGCCTCCTTTCGGCGACTGAGCTCTTGACAGTTAAGTTTAATGGTGACATCAAAGTCTTCCAGAGATGGTCTGAAGAGACTCTGCAACAAGTGTTCAACATGTCAAAACAATACAAAATAGCATCCTATTAGACAATCATAATACCTTTCTGTTGTATACCCCACATTAAGAAGACCCATAGCAGAGTATGGCTATAGCAAGATTATGCATGTACTACAAATAATTACAAACACTACCAAAAAATCAATCTTCAAACTCTATATAATTATTGTGATCAAAATAATATCTACATGCATGTACCACTCTAGGACATGTCTCTGCATCTTTCTATCCACACAACTTACTGTGAAATCCATCTGAGAATCGAATACGCTCTCACTAATAAGAGACAGCGCTACCCCTGCCAGCTGTTTCATGCGATAGATGATGAGCAACGTGGGTTCACTCTTGGTCCAAACAGAGGCCAACTTGTAGCGGTGATTTACATCCTCTGGGTTGTCAGGATCAGCCACAGTTCGCAGCTCATGGGGGGTTGAAATGAACATGGATGGGAGTGACTCTCGTTGACTTGTAAATCTGTGGCTCAGCTCTGCCTGGTCTTCGACTGAGTAAGAGAATGGTAACGTAAAAATACTAATACTAGCAAGGTGGAGGGGGGGGGGGGCATCTATGATAGAGTAAATAGTAATAATAATGATGATAGTAATTTTAACAAGACAATGATGATAATGATGTTGATTGATGGTGATGACTAGTGATAATGATTGATGATGGTGATGACCGGCAATAATGATTGATGATGATAATGACTGATGGTGATGACTGATGATGATGATTGATGATAATGATGCTTATATTGCTATTAATAATAATAATAATAATATTAATAATAATAATAATAATAATGATAATAATAATAGCAATTATAAACTACTACTAACAAATACTAATAAAACAACTAATAATTATCATTATGATAAAATATAACAATAATAATATAATATTAATAATAATAATAATAATAATAATAATAATAATAATAATAATAATAATATGATGATAATAATAATAATAAACAATAATAATATAATAGTAATCAAAATTATAACAATATTAGTAATAACAATAATAATTATTAGTAATAATGAAAACAATAACAATAATAATAATTATGACAACCACAATGATAATAATAAAAAAATAATAATAATAATAATAATAATAATAATAATAATAATAATAATAATAATAATAAATAATAATAATAATAATATAATAATAATATAATAATAATAATAATAATAATAATAATAATATAATATAAATAATTATAATACCAATGGTGATATCATTAATATTACAAGAATTATAATTACAATAAAAATAAAAACAAATGAAAATAATAATGCAAACATTTTCTAACAATGAAAATAATAATAACAATAATAATAACAACAAAAACAATATGAAAAATAAAAAATAATAATAAAAATTAAATAATAATAATAATAATAATAATAATAATAATAATAATAATATTATAAAATAACAACAATAACAATAATAATAATAAATAATAATAATAATAATGATGAAAATAACAAAATAATGAAAATAATAATAATGATACAATAATAATATAATAATAATAATAAAAATAATAATGATAATAAAAATATAACAATAACAATATCTTTCTAGATATATTCTTGATAAGAAAACAAAATATAAAAAAAGTTATTAATACACATTCAGTTTTTTTTATCATTTATATTTTTGAGGTCTGTTAAGTTTCTATTATCTCTTTTCAACTAAAATCTGTCCTTTACTTTATCACTGCCGTATCAATGTGCACAGAGCCTATGAAATCATCTACCAATAGCCAGAGAGAATTCAATACTTAACATACCTGTAAAAGCCTCACTGAGATTGACGAAAATGGGGGTAGTCTTCCAGTCTGTGTGGGCTAAGAGGTGCAGGAATCTGAGTAGAGTCACGTGTGGAGTGTGGGGCACCAGGTAAGGATCTGGGTTCAGGTACAGGTGTGCCACCAGGAGCTCCACAGCCAGGTGCGGGCAGTGGTCCAACAACAGCTGAGAGGCCATCCAACGCTTCGCCAGGCGGACCCCTCCACTGAAGCTTGGGTGTTCCGACTGTATGCTAGGAAAGGGGAAATAGAAGAGGATGTGAGATGGTGAAGATAAGCAATGAGAAGATAAAAAAGAAACAGTGAGAGAACAAGGATAAGGTGTATGTGAAGGTGGACAAGGAGATTAAGTGGAAGAGGGGGAGAGAGGAGGAAAAGAAAGAAAAAGGAGCTGTAAAAATGAGAATGAGGATCATGCCAACAAAAAACACATCCTCAACAATACATTCTACTATTTAACCAAATGTCGACAGAAAAATAATGCGTTCCCTTTGGCAATGCTTGGTTAAATGTTTCTACACATAGATGGCTCTGCCAATGCTTAGCCACAAGAGTCAATTAGTAGAACTTGCGACCTCACTTTTCCTTGAAAAAGCGGGAAAATGCCTTTTTTTTACTTATGCCATTAATACTGACATTGTTATTTTTCTTATAAACATTATGATTACTATATTGTGACTGACATTACTAACAGTAATACTGAATATTAGAAAATATAAAAAATCAAGGAAAAAGAATAAACAGGTTAGTCAGGTAGTTCGCGTAATTGGCTCACTGGTGACAGTCCTTGTGGAGCCATCTATATGTAAAAACAATTACTAAATTCAACAAACACAATGGGCAATGGCATATACAGGGTTAATGTACCTTGCAAGACTGGTTGTAATTTTGGGGATCATTTCCATTTGCTTTTCTAGATTGATAGCAGCCTCTGTGTCCTTTTCCTTCCAGTCTCCATCGGGAGTTTCTACCAGCCTTTGCAGGTAGATCTCTCGGCGGTAACAAACCTCGATGCGAAAAACATAGCCTTCCTGTAGCATAAATCAAGTCTTAGAAATAAATTGTAATTGATGACTCTTAAACACACCTTTTTCTTTGTCCAGTCATCTTTGGTAAAGAAGAAGAAGAAGAAGAAAAAGAAGATTTATCTACATATACATATACTGATATCAAACTACCTATCCAAAAGAAAGAAAAAAGAAAGAAAGAAAAAAAAAAAATAAGTTAATAATTTCCCATGAAAATCAATCTTCTTTCTCCATGAAGCAAGAAAATAACCAAATGATAGACTTAAAAGCTAACAAAAACTTAACAACAAATGTAATGAAAGCAAAATACTTGAAGCCTAAGAATAATAACAAAGTCCTTCTGAAGACAAAAGCATACTCACCCAGAGGACCTGCAGGAAACGAGGGAAGACAATTGCTTTGATGTTCTCCTTCGCAAGCAGGTCAAACATGCTCTTGTAGAATTCAGCTTTAATGGCTTGAATGGCCAGAACATCATCAGGCCACTTCCCACTCATCTCCAGAAACACAATGACTGTAAAAGAAAAAGGAACAAGCATATACATTCTGTTCTTATCTTACATTTTTTTTCTTTGTGCGAGCAGGATTGGAGGTGCTGTCGATGAGTGTAAAGATACACAGGCAGGTTGAAATCAGAGACCTTATTTTAAAGGTATAAACAACTAAACTATGCCGAGTTTGTTGTAATTGACAACTTGACACATTTGTTGGCTTACATCAATAAATACTAACCATTAAGGTAAATCTTAATTGGCCGTTGACCAATCATAGCCTTTGTTTATGTTACATGACCAAAAATGCTTGTTTTGTCAACAATCTTTTTCATTATCCCCTAAATCATAATGAAAAGTGTGATACAACTGAATGTATGGAATAAGCAATGTAGCAATCTGTAGTCCTTGACGATTTCCTCTTTCCAGAAATTCACAGCTTTAACGTTATGAAATTCAGGATAGATTGATGTTTCAGTAACAATTTATTATGACATTACAAAAATTCCACTGCCACATGGCTGAAGTGGAAATGGGTAAAGCCAAAGTTGTGCTTGCTTTTTATTACAGAATCTCAAGAAGAAATATAAAATAACTGCACTGTACATATAATACATATTTGGTTCTTATTTCAACTAAAAAGAAAGTACATCCAAAACAATATAGAGAGGCAAATTACTGTACAGCAATCACTGTATAAGAAAATAATCATTTCAAAATCAGAATTTGCAGAGTAAATTTCATTCCTCAACATTACTTTAAAGACAAAACTATAAAAATGTACAAAGCATATATTCATTACAGAAAAATAATTAGAACTCAGTGATACCAAAAACAGAATAACAATTCAGAAATCTTAAATACAAAAACCATCCTTACCATTTATAGCAAAGTTAAATAATGGGCAAACTCCATTTTCATTAGATAATTCCATATGGTCTTCTTTGATGACAACTTTCTGCAAGAAGATCAAGGGACAAAATTACACAAGAGAATCATATAGTATACAAATGCTTAAATAACAATACTATGATAAAAAAGAAAATATCCTTCCTCTCAGAAATACAACAATCCCTTAATCCAATACCCGACAGGAAAATGTTGCGTTCACTTTGGTATTATTTTGTTAAATGTTTCTGTAAATAGATGGCTCTGCCAGTACTTATCCACAAAGAGTCAATTAGTAGATCTTGTGACCTCACCTTTCCTTGACATAGTCGGAAAATGCTTTTTTTTTACTAATGTTATCCATATTGACACTGCTATTTTTGTAATGTTTGTAATTACAATTACTATATTGTTATTGACATTACTAACACCAGTATTAAATACAAGAAAATATTATTGAAAATCAAGGAAAAGGGTAAACAGGTGAGACAGGTTAGTCTCGTAATTGGCTCATTGGTGACTCAGTATATGTTGAGCCATCTATATGTAAAAACAATTACTAAATCAAACACACAGTGAGCATGGCATATACATATATGCCATCCCCAGCGGCAAGTAGTTAATGAAGAGTAACATACTTTAAACACACAAGATGGTCTCCATTGAAAGACATCTCTCTATGTATGCATGACTAAGTAATTAAGGTCAGTTAAAACAAAATCCACATCCTTACCTCAGAGTGCTGCTTTGCATTCTTCCCTAAAGGCGGAAAGACTCTTGCATGTCGACTTACTTCTGATGTCGAGTGGACTGTGGTGATCTTTAAAGGCAAGTGAAGTGATCGCAACTTACGTGCCAAGCGGTCAAAGGCTTGGATGGCTGAAGTTGTTGCTTCTTCCCCTGTTCCATACCTAAGGCAATGAGATACAGAAGTAAGAAATGAGAATCTGGTTCCTCTGGATTATTTACTGACAGTTATAGCTTATAATCAGCTGGATATCTTAAAAAGTTGATTACTTAAGACAACAACATATAGGAAATATCTAAAACCAGAACTGACATTTCATTCATCTAAAAACAGGTCAATTAGATTATGGGGAAAAAGTAAATAAATAAATAACCAACTCAAACAAGGTTAACAGGTGTAAGAACACTTCTTTCTCTTCTAATTCAAAACAATGTACTCAAAATATTTCCTTTCTTCAAGGGCATGCATAGGACAATGTAATAAATGAATATCGTTCCCCTTATAAGCCTTACACATACACATAACCATTCAAAAATCTATACTCACTCTTCCTTCACGGAACTTTCAGGCACGTGCAAAAGACTTTCCATCTGGCCTGCTAC